TTTTTCTTTCTTTCTTTCTTTCTTTCTTTCTTTCTTTCTTTCTTTCTTTCTTTCTTTCTTTCTTTCTTTCTTTCTTTCTTTCTTTCTTTCTCTCTCTCTCTCTCTCTCTCTCTCTCTCTCTCTGTCTCTCTCTCTCTCTCTCTCTCTCTCTCTCTTTCTTTCTTAAATCTTTTTAAATAGGCTCTCATGAAGTTCAGGCTGACATTGAACTTACTATAAGTAGCCAAGGATAACTTTAGACTTCTGCTTCTCTTGCTTCTACAACTCAAATGTTGAGATTGCAGGAATGGGCCACTGTGTCTGGTTTATGTGGTATTAGTACCCAGGCTTTGTGCTTGCTAGGAAAGCACACTTCCTACGAAACTGCATACCCAGCCCTCTATTACTCAGGTCAATCTGCTGAATGCAACCTCACCAAGTTGTGCAGACCCCCAGGCAAAGTTTTCTCACCTGCACTTTCCAACAGCTGTGGGCCTTCTTCCAGACAGCTCTAAGTCTGATCTCCTGGAGAGAGCTGGCTGTCTCTAATGGTCTCAGTAGGAAATATACAAAGGGACAGGGGAGGGGTTAACAGAGCAGAAATGAATTAGGAAACAGGAAACAGGAAACCAGGACTTCCTGTGACATGCATTGACCCTGAGATTATACCCAAATCATATTTTTTTCTTAATAGCATCTGGTGATTGGACTGGATCCTTATAGAAACTCAAGAGCTGAACCTAGCACACGCCTTTAATCACAGCACTTGGGAGGCAGAGCCAGGTGGATCTCTGAGTTCAAGGCCAGCCTGGTCTATAGAGTGAGTTCCAAGAGAGACTCCAAAGCTACACAGAGAAACTCTGTCTCAAAAAAATCCAAAAGCCAAACAACAACAACGCGCCCAAAACAAACAAACAAACAAACAAACAAACAAACCCCCACCAAAACAACAGCAAAAAACAAAACTAAAAAACCCCTGCCAGAGCCTGAAAACTTTTCTGTGCTTCATCGTTGGTGGGATATATATGTAGGTCTAAGAGATGAGGGAATCTGGGTGTTCAGGAACCTTCTCAGCATAAAGAAAGGGGAGGAGGCTGTGGTTAGGAGAACCTATGGGAAGCAGTGAAAGGCAGAGATGGAAGGAGAGAAATAGAAACCAGAGACCCAGAGAAAGGAAGATAAATGTGAATAATTCGGATAGTCAGAAAGGATCAAACATTCTACACTTAGCCACAATCGTCAAGATCAATTGCATAATAGCCCACACTTCTGCCAACTCACCTTTGTGGTCATTCACAACAGGCACCTTTTAGAAAGTTTCCAAGGAAGGAAGTTGACTTTTCCTGGAAGGGCATCAAAAGATGTCTATTCACCCCAGACCGGAGACCAGGGACAAAGAAAAGCAATGAACACGCCAAGTCCAATTTGACAAACCAGTGAGCTCATCGGGGATACTTACAGAAGTATACGTGTATGAGGGTTTGCTTAAAGGAACCAGGCTGACTCAGAGGCTGTCGCATCACCAAAAAGCCCAGCTCAGCCTGCGTGACAGTGAAGAAAGTCGCAAACCTGGAGCTCTCTGCAGAACTTGCAGCAGCTCATCAGATTGGAGAATCTCCCACACGTAGGCTGGTTAGTCTGAGAACCTCGTCCAGGCAGCTTTGCCTCCTCTCTTCTCCTAAGCATTTGCTTATTGCTTCCTTAACCTTGTAGAGGGCCCTATATATTGTGTAAGTTTCTGTTTTCCCTGACAGGTGTTGTTCCTAGGGGAAAACTTCCCAGAATCTTAAGGATCCTCTCTCCACGATGGAATGTCTCAGTAGGAAAAATATTGCTCCACAATATGATGGAGCATACAAGTGAAGTTATACAAACTCACAAGGAACTGAGTGGTAAAGAACATTATTTTACATAGTGAAGGTCCCAAGAGAAAACAAGAAAGGGATAGGTAGAGAGTAACTGCTGAACAGAATGTGAGGTCATTTGAAGTCTGATTGCTCTGCTCAAAGATGGTTTGATGGGAATCCCCCACCGACTCCTCCACAGCTCACCACACCTCTTACTGAAGCACAGGATGGCTTTTTCTTTGCTGTCTAAAGGCCTATGATTACCACACAGCACCTGTGGAAATGCAGAGGCATGCGTGTGTAGGGTAGAGTTTAGAGAGGGAAGTAAAGCAGGAAAGTCCCAGGGTGAACTTCTGCTTTGTATGGGCCTCATTTGCACAATCTAGGCAAATCCAAAGGAAATGGCACTGGGCTGTGCTGGGGTGGAGGAATTCCTGCTTGAGATGCCAAATTATTCTGTCAGAAAATAGAGTGCAGGCAACTCCCTTTGGGAATTGTGAAGATTCTCAGTTAGAACCTGGGCTGACTTGGTCACTACTTGGGGGACCAGACAAGCCACTTAACCAGTGCTGAGCTTTTTTTTTTTTTTTTTTTTTTTTTTTTTTTATCAACGGTGAAAAAGGTAATATTTAATACCTGGTAGTCTTCAGGGTCCCTGTTCTGCTTTCTACATGAGTACACAGATAATTGCCAACAGTACATCATTTAAGAACACAACAATTGGTTTTCACATCACTTCACAGACCATACTTTCTTCTTCTTTTGTTGTTCTTCAGACAGAAAAAACCCACAAATAACTAATAAGAAAACTATTCCTGGCTTGCAGGCTGTACTAAACCTATTGTTGGTTGGCCTGGAGAAGAGGGCTAAATGGTTAAGAGCACTTGATGCTCTGACAGACCACCACAACAACCAAACAGGTGGTGGCTGGATGTGACCATGATTTAGGAGGCTCAGTTACTTTACCTGTGAATTGAGAATCATAATAGTTACAAAAATAATTTTTATTTGAGTAGAATAGACAAGATAACCTATGCAGAGCACGTACCACAGATTCCAGTGTAATAAATATTATCTACATCTTAGTTGGAAAACATTCTTGTCTCCTGACAGTCTGTCTGTGTGGATGTTTGCATCACACCTCCCTCCACTCACTGTCTGCAGCTCAGACCTTGCTTTTGAACTGCACACACATTTTAGGATTACTTGTCCCTTCAGGCTCACCTCTAGAATTTTCTCTCATCAGCTTTTCACTTAACCCTGTCATAAACTGGGGTCTTCTTCAATCTCAAGTTAAATTCCGAATCCCCATTCCATTCAGAATGTGGCTGTTCGGAGTTCAGGCATTTAAAGGACTAATTAAAACTAAATGAGCTCATAAGGGTGGGGCCCTAATCCAATATAAATGGTGACCTTTTGAGAGGAGAGAAACACCAGGGCTGGGTAAGTTTACAGAGATTTATATGAAAGGACAGAGTGGAGAAGATGGCCATCTGCAAGCCAAAGAGAAGCCCTGGGACCATCATCATAATCTGGACCACCAGCATCCATAACTGTGACAAAATCAGTTGCTATGCTTTAAGATACCCAGAGAGTGGTGCTTTGTATTGCCAGCCTTAGAAAAAAACTAACCCATTCTGCTTTAGTTCAGGGATTCCTGTCTCTGTGATGACCTCAAATCTACTCAGTTCCCACAGTGTATGAAAGAACTGAATTGTTAGGCCATCCCGTTAGTGTCCACAGAAAACTAGAGAATTTCTTCAGAAAGAACCCCATACATGTGCTGTAATAAACAGAGAGGCAAGATTCTGTTTGGTTATCATCTCAGACTTCATGTGTGTATGTGCCTGTACCCACAGAGGCAAGAGAAGATGTCTAGTCTCCCTGGATCTGGAGTTGTATGCAGTTGTGAGCTGTTTAATTTGGGCACTGAGAAATGAAGTTGGGTACCCTGGAAGAGCAACAAATGCTCTTAGCCACTGAGGCATTTATTCAGCTACTCATCTTTGTGTTTTAAAAGCAGATTTATTTACTTATTTTTAAATGCATGAGTGTTTTGCACAAATGTATAACTTCACATAGTGTTTGTGTCTGGTACCTGCAGAGGCCAGAAGAGGACATTGTATACTATAGACTTGGAGTGACAGATGGTGTGAGTCACCATGTAGTTGATAGAAATCCAACTTGCATCCTTTTTAAGAGCATTCAGTCCTTTGAATTTCAGAGCCATCAATCAAATAAACCCCCCCCCCATTTTTTTCTTTTTTTTTTTTAAAAAAAAAGAGGGCCTGGAGGGATGTTTCAGTGGTTAAGAACAAGTACAGCTCCTGTAGAGGAACGGACTTTGGTTACCAAAGCTCATGTCAGGCTGTTCACAACTGTCTGTAACTTCAGATCAGGGGATCCAAAGAACTAGAACTCTGAATGTTCACAGATGCCTGAAACCTGAGATTGACAGCACTGACCTCATGTGTTTCACAGATCAATGGTGGAGAACATTTATGCTTCTATGTTTCTAAGAACTCCACTTTGACTAGAGAGATGACATAGCAGTTAGAGTACTGGCTGTTCTTCTAGAAGACCCAGGTTCAGTTCCCAGAACCCACATGATGGCTAAAAACTGCCTCTAATTCCAGTTCCAAGGGATCCAGTGCTCTCTCTGGCCTCTGAGGACATCAGGCCTGTGTGTGGTGGATGCATTAACACACATACAGGCAAAACCTCCACACACATATCTTCTGGAAATCTTAAGAAACCCTAGATTTCTGCCATCAGATTGGTTCCGGCTTTCTTGTTCCTCTCTGTGTTTTCTTAAGTCTCTGATGAGAGCCAAGTGTATCACTTACACCACACGAGTACAGGAGTCAGCTATAAGAAGGGGACCTCAGCTAATGGTAAGTTGTACTCCACCAACTGAAAACTTCCCTTTTGAATGCCTGTTATATGGGTAGACACTTTCTAAAATTCTGTGCAGAGATGTGCAGTATCACATTTACTTTCAATAGATGACTCCTCAGTTCTTGATTTAGGATATGCTGAGACTAGAATACAGGTGGAGGTATGGGGAGATGACTCTGTCAGTAAGTGTGTGCCTTGCAAGCATGTAGGCCTGAGCGGCACCCACTTTTAAAGAGTTAAGTGGAGGCAAACTGATCCTTGGGCTATTATTACAAGCAGCCATTGATCTATAAAGGCAACCAAGAATGTGTTATATGCACATCTTTTGTCATGTTAAAGCACAAGAAAAATGTTACTCAGGAAGGGAAGGGGGTCTAATTGATACTGTGCCATGGGAGTTATCAGAATAAGAACTAGAATGGCTCATTGGGTTTGGCTACCTGGGGTCCACATCCTTGATGGGGGCAATTTTGTGCAGTGCCAAGGACCCAAGTCAATATGCAGTGGGTTAATGAGAAGCGGTGAGATAAGAATGTACAAAGAATATTTATAGTTCTAAGGTTGAGCTATAAAATCTTTTCACAGGAAGAAGTCTCTTCTGTGAAAAAGAACTTATCTCTTTCTCCTTCTCTCCTCCATTCTCAACTAAATGCAGTGTCCCTCATATGCTAGCCAGATGCTGTCTTGCTGACCCTTGCACCTCACTCAGGTGCTCCACAACTGAGTGACACTGCCAGGTCCCTCATTACTGAGGGATTCTAGGCAGGTGCTCTACCACTGAGCTACATCCCATTGTATTTCTCT